GAGTACTACCTCCTTCCATTCAGGACAGGGGCCGATGTTGTCCAACACGGTAAGTTCGATATGGCTTGATAGCGTGACGGAGATCTTGCTGAGACTCGGTGTAAGGTTTGATATGATCACATTAAGCAAAAGGGGGTTGATTGGATGGTAATCCGTCCATCTGGTCTCGCAAAGCTAAGGCAGCATCAGCATCAACTCTGTAGAGTACCGAGAGAAATTCACGAACGGCTTCCAAGAGAGGAACGTTGTTGACAGTGTCATTCGGCATCGTCCGAAGATCGTCGCGATGTTGAAGCGGAATCATTACGATATCGCCTGTCATGGTGTGAGCTGCCTTAGCAGGCCTGGCGGCCGCGAGTATTCTTCGGGAATACCATAACGTCACTACCTAATCGCGTGGCAGTCATGTCGTGACGGGCGGATAAGGTCAATCTAACTATCTCACCGCCGAGAGAATGCTCAAAACTATAGGATTGAGAGCTGATCATGCTGGCGGTGTGCGTTACGATCTACGCAAGATTTCCAGCGGTGCCATTCACTCAATCGTGTACCTTGCCACACTATCATGATGAAGGTGTCACCGTGCTCTGAGTTTTCCACTTTGACGAGGAAAGTAGCAAGGCAGTCGACTTTTGAGAAAGTTGAAGCTTCGTCATCACTAACATCTTCAATCTGCTCGGAGCCGTCAAGCTTTGTGCAGTTACCACAGCCTTTGGACTTGGATTGCAACCATGGCATCTAAGTGGAACTGGATGATGCGCGAACACGTCTGGTACATCTCACTCTCAGAGTACGCATCACGTTGCGCCTTTCCGTTATGAAAGAACTTCTCGGCCCGAGGAAAGGCAACTGGTCTTGCTATCTCATCTTGTTCTGGCGGGAGCACAAGAGTCCTCTTTTTGTCGCTGTAGCCGACTCTTTTGACCTTTGAAGGGTCTCGGAAGCCCTCAAGGCCATTTGAACAAATTTGGCATGAAGCAATCTAAGTTTACTTAGCAGAATATCCAGTATAATCGTGCAGTGATACATAGAATGGCGTGCTTGGTCGATCTTTTCGCTGATGCGGTAGATTGACAAGTCGTTTCTTAGACAGTCAGAGTTGGTGCGGCGAGGAGCTCCGCGGAAAATGACGCATCTTCCTGCCGCTCAGCTGCAACCAATGGGCACAAAGCTGCATGCGCTGACAGACCGACTAACTAGCCCTTCATAAACTTATGATACTCTCGACTGGATTGCTCTTATCCCCTTGCGTCAGCAAAATACTTCCCTTCATTCATGTTTCAACACACGCCACCTCCCTTGACCCCCCAGCTCTACTACAATAATAGCTCGGATGTATCCGAGTCGGCTGGCCAGCCGGTGCATCCGGATCTTGGTTCTGAAGCCTGGTCCGGACACTATCCCTATTCAAATCGAACTTCAGGAAGCAAGTATCGATGACCTCCCAACGTTCGAGGCGCTGTCATATGTCTGGGGAGACCCATCAGAGCGGCGACAGATCGACTGCTCTGGACAACTTGTCTCGATTACCCAGAACCTTCACGATGCTCTGCAACACCTACGGCATCCAGACCGAGAGTTGTTGATATGGGCAGATGCTCTGTGCATCAATCAAGAGGATATGGACGAGAGAGCAGACCAAGTACAACTCATGAGAGACATTTACTCGCGTGCTGAGAGGGTAGTGGTATGGCTAGGCCTGGACAACGAAGGCCGGGCCCCCCGTGCGATGTCTTTGATCGAGACGATTCATCAAGCTTGCGAAGATCACGCATTAGCTAAGAACATCGATCTTGTGACCATGGCTCACTTTACGCCGGCGACACAAGCGCTAGAAGGACTCGCAGGGATCTCTATCGAGAATGTTGCTGCGGCTGGGATGCGTTTGAGTAAACCAGAGCTGAAGGCAGAAGACTGGGAAGCGCTGGGATGGCTGCTGTCTCGACCTTGGTTCACGCGAGTTTGGTGCGTGCAAGAAATCGTTCTCGCCCGATCTTCCAGAGTTTACGTCGGCTCTGTATCCTTAGACTGGGTCAAGCTGGGAGTCACGGCTGCCTGGTTAAGCGAGCAGCATCTTGCAAATGACTACGATGTGCCGGCTGAGATCGAAAATATGCCATTTGACAATGCGCATGCCATGTTCGACACAAGCGATATACCAGAATCAACTTTCTTGGAAATTCTCATTGCTTTTCGAGATCACCATGCCACAAACTTGAGGGACAAGGTCTATGGGCTGTTGGGGCTCATGCGCCCAAAAGACCTCGAGCTTTTCCCGAGTGTTGACTACCGAAAAAGTGTGGCAGAGGTTTACGCCGACGTTGTCATTACTGCTGTCACAGACAGTAAAACATTGGCTTCTTTGTGCTATGTCCAACATGGAGTCGAGTACAAACAAACCGATGTTCCTTCATGGGTACCAAGATGGGATGTGAGTGGCGACGTGTCATCTATTCTCGATAGCCGATCCCTGACAGCCTGGAAAGAGGGCGACAAGCATGGTCTCCCGGAACTGACAGATTTTAACCCATCATCAGATGGCAAGTTAGCCGTAGCTGGTGTCAGATTCGACACCATTGCTTGGATAACCCGCGCTCTGGACGTTCAAGACTTCAAGGAAAGATCCACAGGCTCTGAGGTGTCACCTCATCCGATGCTAGATCTATGGCATCTTGCGTCTTCAAACATGTCGTATCCACAATCTCAATCTGAAGACTCGCTGATGGCCGTGTTGATGATGGCTCTCACTCTGACTGCTGGGGTTACTGTTGGGTATGAGCGTGTGGAAGAGCTCGAATCATCTGACGACCGTGAGCAGTTTCATGCAGACTACCTGAAATACGTACACAGCTTACTTGAGGTTTCTGGCCTAGAGTCTTCAACTTTCGAGCCTCTCAATATCGCATTGAGTGACGGGAACGCCTCGCGATTCAGAGTCGCAGCGTCCCGCGCTTGCGACCAGCGATGTGTCTTTGAGACAGCAAAGGGGTTCTATGGACTAGCACCAGCCTGCGCAAGAGAAGGAGATGTGGTTGTGATGTTGTACGGTGGGCCGATCCCGTTCGTTCTTAGAGAAGTTAACAACGGGTGGTGGCTACTGGGCGACTGTTTCATCGATCCGCTCATGCCCGAGGCTGCTGACGATACGATCAGAGCTCGGTTCGGCGAGGAGGAAGTCTTTTTGCTTGTCTAGATATGACTTGAAACGTGTGCAGCATTATGTCAGTACATCGTAATTCAAAGACCTCAAATATTCATTTCGGTTCCCATTATCCTGAACCCCGTTTATTCAGTAAGTTCCCCTCAATCGAGAACTACCGAGGTGGACCTCGCTTTGCTGTGCCCCTGGCCTGCGTAGCTTGCCCCAACGAGTTACACACAAGTGATTACATCATTTTTTGGCATGAAATGCTCTATGTGAAGAAACTTGTTGGTCGCCACGATCTTGAACCACGCATATTGGCCGATGCCATGACTTTTATTTCCGGGTCGGGGCTGAAGGATCTTTGGAAAGCGGAGTTACTCACATAAAGTCGGGGAAGTCCCAACGAACCCCTCAAAAATGCTCTTAATGAATCCTTCTCCAGAAAGAAAGATCAAACTTTGGACATTGTTTGATTGACAAGAAGTAAACGAAACTCTTCAGAATGCACTCCATGTCAGAACCTCCGGAAATCATCACCCCGCAGGACCAGGCGGGGTCCACTGGGTACCAAGAAAGCTGGAGCTTTCTGGACGATGTGAAGGTTAGTCATCGCCTTGTAGTGGCCATTCAAGCCAGTAATGTGAACGGTATTGGTTTTCCTGACCGACAATTCAGCGACGCTTCGAGGCAACTCGGCCGGAGGTTTATGCGGCCTTCATCAAGGCCCTGAGTAACTTCTACACTTCAACACAGAACCCAACCGGAAACTCTGAGGCGGTGCTCTTTGAGACCCACGAGACAGTAAAGGCGTTGCTGCAAGGGCATGACGACTTATTAGAAAGATTCGAAAGCAGTCTTCCCCAAGAATATCTTTACCGAAGGCATGAAGCAGCGGCAACGAGGCAAAGCTAGTACCCTGTAAAGGCAGTCTTTACATTATACATGCAGTCTCTTATCTCACATCAAGCCACATCGGAGGAGCGTCATATGACAAGATAGACTCGGCTCATCTGTGTTCGCATGAGCCCGGGCCAACGGAAGGGCTCGGTTCACAAGCATCTTGGTGTCTGCTTCTGAGCTTATCCGGTTCATGAAGCGTCCAGTGCCCTTTTCCGTGTTGAATGCCTTGTTCGCGCAACGCTTATTTCTTATCCCAATGTCCGAAGTTTGACATACCCAACATCTTCCTGGAAGCTTTACCCAACATGCGGAGATCCTCCGCCATTCCCACATCCAAAATCACCCAACCAACCGTGACTCGCCAATGCCGCTTTCTCCACAGCTGCCAATTGCTCTTGGCGCACTTCCCCTCTTCTGAACAAAAGTAGAGTCTCAATCCTACCGCCAGCTTGTGAGACATTACTGCCGGCTGTTTCTTACTTTTTCCAGAATGGGTCTAGGAAGATCCCTGAGAACCCTGGTTGTTCTTGCCCATCAGCAACGCTTTTTTGCATTCCACGTACGGGGTTTTATAATGCCATCCAACTATAGGCCATGTTGTCAACCCCAGACTTTTGCAACTCCAGTCTGGGGTGGCGGGGTGACTCGATCATGTGGGGATGAAGAGCCAAGGTTTCTTGATATTGACACGCCTTGAGAAGCCATTTACCGTATATGTCAGCCAGAACAGATGTACCTCTCCAGATACCGAGACCTTCCAGTGTGATGTTTCGGATGCTACATCATGCCGGCTTTTTAAAGAAATACTATACTTTTTGTCCGCCGTGTCTTTATATAGATCAGTCAGTGACCCTCACGGATCCGGAACCGTCCGTCCCAAACGATCATTGTGCAACTCTTAGCATTATCTCTCATTTAATCCCTTGTATAGGTCTGGAAGAATTGCTCAGTCATAATGGCCTTAAAAGGCGAATCTGAGGTGCGCCATCTACGTAAGGCAGCTGAAAATGAAGTCGAGGAAAAGCTTGGTCAGTCGGCCATTCACGAAGCCAAGCAAGCTTCAGACGATGAACATGCGCAGACCCTTCGGCAGGCACTCAGCGAGAACCGCAAGGCGGTGTTTTGGTCTGTTATGATATCCATGTCCATTGTGATGGAAGGGTGAGTAATTTCTGTTTTGGGTCTTCGGAAAACCCGAGATACTTGCTCAACGTTGATTGCTTTCAGATACGACGTCATCCTAATCAACAACTTCTTTGCCTATCCAGAGTTCCAAAAGAAATATGGCAGTTGGTATGGCGAGGAAATTGGCTATCAGGTCTCTGGACCGTGGCAAACAGGTCTAACTATGGCTTCCACGGTCGGTGCCATCTTTGGTTCGTGCTTCCGATCTGTTGGCCAACCCCCCAACTGGAGACTGACACCGGCCAGGCGGGTTGATGAATGGATACTTCGCATCCAAATATGGCTATCGATGGGTCATGATCGGCGCCATGTTCTTCTTGAACTGCTTCATCTTTGTGGTATTCTTTGCGCACTCTGCCGCCATGCTTCTAGTCGGGCAAATTCTTTGCGGCCTTTCCTGGGGTGTTTTTGCAACGCTAAGTCCAGCTTATGGTAATCCTCATCACTCATATCTGAAACCTTCTAAACTACTGACTGGCCATGCCATAGCTTCCGAAGTCTGTCCCACGAACCTTCGCGGTTACATGACTACATATGTGCGTTGTATCTATGGGCTGCCATCAAGTGTCACGACTAAACCCGAGTTAGGTAAATCTTTGCTGGGCAACAGGTCAGCTTATTGCTGCTGGTGTTCTCCGCGGTTGTCTAAGCATTGAAGGCGAGATGGCTTACCGGATCCCTTTCGCTATTCAATGGGTGAGTTTGCCCTAAGAGTCTACCTGGTACTAGTTGTCAAGTCGCACCACCTAATAGAAACCTCGTCACAAGCTCTGGCCTGTCCCTCTGATGGTTGTTTCATATCTGGCACCTGAGAGTCCGTGGTATCTAGTCCGAAAAGATCGCCTCGAGGATGCTAGACGGTCCATCGAGCGGCTCAGTGGCGACAAGACTCAAGACCAAATCAATGCCCAGCTAGCAATGATGGTTCACACAACTAAGGTCGAATCTGGCGTGACAAGAGGTGTGACATATCTTGATTGCTTCAAGGGCATTGATCGTCGACGCACTGAAATATGCTGTGTTGCGTTTGCAGGCCAAGTCATGTCTGGCAGCAGCTTCGCTTACACTCCGACGTACTTCTTCACTACCGCGGGAATGAAGACTGCGAATGCGTTCGAACTGAGTCTGGGAGCAAAGGGGATGGCTTTCCTTGGGACCGTTCTGTGAGAGTCCCGGTGTTAAAAAGTCCGATAATTGAGGTCGAGCTAACTCTGTATGTTTAGATCATGGTGGCTCATCACTCATTGGGGACGACGTGCGATTTATGTTACTGGGATTGGAGCCCTCACTGTTATCCTGTTCATTATAGGCATTCTTGACGTGTCCGCTGGTGAGAAGGGTCTTTGGCCATCTGGCGGTCTTTGTGTCTTCTGGCTTTTTATTTACGTGAGTGGGACTCCCTGTTACATCAGAAATACCAAAATCAAAAGGGCGAAGCTGACGACTACAGTCTCTCACCATTGGACCTATTACTGTACGTCACTGAGACCCAAGTCCCTTTAGTCTCCCTGTCAACCTGGCAAGTAGGAAGAGGGATCCTAACAAAGGCAACAGTATAGCGTCATCAGCGAGACGTCTTCGGTTCGGCTTCGTCCACTCACAGTCGTACTATCGCGAAATGCCTACCAGCTTGTCAATATTGTCTCACAAGTCCTACAGACTTACATGATGTGAGTACCACCTCGCTGAAACGGATATTAATCGCGAAAACAGATGCTTATTGACGATGTGAAGGAACCCTACAGAGTGGAATCTGAGAGGCAAGGCCGGCTTCTTCTGGGCGGGAACCGCCGGGATCATCTTCATTTGGTCATATTTCCGGCTACCTGAGTGTAAAGGCCGTACGTACGAGGAGTTGGACATGCTCTTTGCAAGAGGGATCCCGGCTAGAGAATTTTCAAAGGCTCACGTGGATGCTTACGAGGAAGCTTCGGATCATGTCGAAGATGTTATGGAAGCAACACCACGGAAGCAGGACTCTTGAATTACGCGCTTTGCTATGATAATTCGAGATAGTCCACCCAGCGCTGCTAATGCCGCAAGACAGGCCACCCAACTCACTCAAGATTGTTGATTCTGGCCTTAAAATTTATAAAGGCTTCTGGCCAGTGACGACAATGAAGTCGAAGATGGGGTGAACGTCTCTCTTTCTTACCGCCGCTCGAACCCCAGCATTGAGGACAGTGACCTCCTCTGGAGACCATCCCAAAACGTCCTTGAACAGCGCGGCAGTGAATGCCTCTACCCCTTCCAGGAAATTAACTCCCATAAGCGTGCCGACCTCCTTCAATCTGGCGTCTCTCGGCCAGCTGCCGATGGGCAGCTTGAATCTTTGCTCGCCCACCTTCTGGAAACCAGCCTCTTCAGTCCAGCGCTTAAAGGATGGTGCTGGGTCCATTGTTCTCCCAATCTTCTCACAGGCCTCCATGAGTCCGTCCATCATCTGGACCATGGCGTTGTCAGGCTTAAGTGAGCCATCTTCGGAGTACAGAGTGTTTGCAGATTCCTGGAATTCGACCCAGCCGCCAGGTTTCAGGTTCTCGTAGATTTGGTTCACCAGCCGAGGCCAGTCCTTGATGGAACCTGCCATATAACGACAGTGGATGTAGTCGTATTGCTCGGGCTCCGCCCAGTCTAGCTCAACGTCGTCGATGATGAACTTGACATTCGGCGGCACCCATTGTGGCTGGATGGGGCTGAGGTCGTTCCCGACAATCACTTCGGCCTCGGGGTGCTCGTCACCAAACTGGATAGGCCAGATACCCGTGCCGGTGCCGATATCGAGAACCTTCAGTCCCTCTGTTTTGATGGGCGCAAGGTACAGGCGATCATGCATCAACCTGAAGAAGACATGATGAATCATATCAAGCCGATCCTGTTCCTCCTCGTCGTTGGGAAAATTGTAAGAACCGGATTGATAGCCATGGTACCGGCGACCATGCTTCCATTCGTATGTTGACGTGACTGACTTGAGAGAGGTGCTGGCGCGAGAAGCTTCATCATCGCCCCAAGACGAGTCATTTTCTTCCCGATCGACTTCTACCTCCACTTCGGGAGCGGGCCGCTCGGGTTCGGGCTCGGGCTCAGCCACGGCTTCAATTTGGGGGCTAGCCGGAGTCGAAGCGGCAGGAGTTGGAGTCGGTTCCGCCATTTTTGTTTCGTTGGAGGTGATGCGAGAGTCTCAAGGACTGAATTGATTGAGCAAGAGACTTTTAACGATCAGGGAATGTAAGGTGATCCGGGTACTCGGTAACGCCTCGTGGAGAAATGAAGGACGATCAGAAGAAAAAGAAGAAAGCGACGCTGTTCTTCAACGGTCAGTCTCAGTCTAGAACCCGCTGCGGGGCCCCATAGAACATGGTGTGGCACCCGACGGGGGCATCACGGACCTGTAAGGTGAAGACTCGCGACTTTGGTCGTAATCTTGATGGAGCGCATAAAGCGGATCGTCCGGTTTCCCGACTCTGAGAGGTCGATTGACCGCTAATTTGGTGTGCTAAGTTCAGACTAGAGTCGCTGACGACAAGGATACTCGTGGTGCAACGTCCCATCAACGGCTGGCCATTGATAGTATTCGGTAATTGATCTGCAAAGTTGGGATGCCACGGGAATTTCAATGTGTCTGTCAACCATCTTTTAGTGGTGATTTTCGGGAATGATTTCAGTCACCCCAACACAGCTTATTCTACTAGGCAATCAGGTGAGGCATACACCGGATATCCAGCTGCTCAATGTATTCCATCAACATCCCTTCTTTCTCCGACTGGTATGTCCATTGGCACATTCATTGCTCTCCTGGGTTGATCTCGGCGCATTTTGGTTGCTATACACCCTGTATAAGAGTGAGGTGCTTCTCTACATGTTGATAATACAGAAAGAGATTTAGGGCAGGTTTTTGGTAACTTATCTGATAGTGAACTAAAAGTTCTTGTCTGATCTTTTGGATGGCTTTGATTTGGACGAGCCTACGGGAGACTATGAAGAGATAGAGGATCGCAGCTGTGATGCAGACTCGAGCGCCAATTAACGCAACTTCCAGATCAAATTTTTAAAGAAGTCGGAAGTTGCAACATGAGTTTGCGTCCAACAAACGAAAATTGATTGGCCATAATCAGAATACAGACGGTACAAGTTATGCATTTATGGGTGCGTAAAGACTTCAACATCTTGGTGCCTGCATCCCTTTCGGCACATCTGAATCTGAGCCTAAATTCTTCTGATTTGAGCGACTTTACTCAAGTTCAAATGCCATGGAAGTATTGGGAACACCACTTTCATGAGATCGGAACTACAATTCATTTAGGAGAAGCCCTACGCCTGGCCTCAAAAGACCATTCCATTAATTCACGGTGTATGAGGTTTGATGTCACGTAACAGGGATAGCAACCGCATCTCACGAAGTGCCCGTCACGTGCTGAATCACGTGTCTATCTCAGACATCGTGTATATAGACCTTTTCCTTTTGTCTATTTCTACTTTAATAGGTTAAGCCACTTTTACCACACTCCGTATGCCCATTGCTGCGTGCCATAACTCGTGACATTTGACAAATCGTTTAGCATGCAGACATTGATTCACCACAGAAAGAGGTGGTTCGGAATTAACTCGCTTGGTTTTTCAGGGACAAGAAGTGGTCTCAAGGTTCAACGGATGCATTCAATGCGTTGAATGTCACACACAATACAAATTGGGCCGCAGACAACCACTGCGTGAGACAGCCGTGGACTAGCAAGATTGGCCTAATCATTCAGCCAGCCACGCAAGGGTTTTTCGGATGCAGCTAACGCGTGAATCGGCTGACACTATTGAGCGAGCACTAGCCACATGCACATATGTCTCAAAGACCGCAGTTTGCTGAAGGAAACAAGCTGTAAGAAAAGTGGGATACCGGCGTATCGCAAACTCTCCAATAAGGAGGCAAAGCCACAAGGTGATGGATCCGAAAACAGAAGCCCCGAAATGATGATTTAGACCTCTGGCGGGAATTGCAATTACCATCAAGATCCGGCGAAATGCATGGTAGAAGCCTAAGACCTTCAAGTAGTTCTGAAAAAATTCCGAGTCTTGTTGCAGTTCGAGGTTCGGCTTTCACGCTGGCTATAAGATACACCGATTCCGTACACGATAACCATTGATGACTTCTCGCACTTGGCCCTCTTTCCTTACTTCATTTTAATCATCTTCTATCCTGATAGCTTAAGCTGAGCAACTATGCGTTTAACTGTACCACCGTCCATAGTCCCAGCATGGCATCAATCCGGATCCTTGCTGGTGCTAGCATACTTTGTATCTCCGGCCATTAGCCAACTTGTGGCCAGCACCAGCTTGGTGACTCCTTTGTTCCCACTGCTGCAGAATGAAAATACTACAGAACTCTTCCCCATGCCCGTTTGCGCTGGAACCTTCAAGTTAGAAGAAGCGACCATCGACCAGATGCAGAAGGCCATGGAAGATGGCATTTTGACGTCTCAACAGCTGGTCATGTGCTACATGCAACGCACTTTTCAGACTCAAGAGTACATCAGGTTAGCGTTCCTACGCTGTATATCCAGCTCATATTTGATAACTAATAATTCCATCAAAATAGTTCCGTAATGCAATTGAATCCGGATGTCATGACGATTGCCGCCAAAAGGGACGAACAACGAAAAGCAGGCCAAGTTCTCGGTCCCCTTCATGGAATCCCATTCACTGTCAAAGACAACATTGCGACACAAGACAGTATGGAAACAACTGCTGGGAGCTATGCACTATTGGGAAGCATTGTCCCTCGCGATGCCTTCGTCGTTGCTCGTTTGAGAGCAGCGGGAGCTGTACTATTTGGGAAATCCACAATGAGCGAATGGGCAGACATGCGGAGTACCGGATATTCAGAAGGGTACTCCCCACGGGGTGGACAGCCACGAAGCCCCTACAACTTGGTCTTCAATCCCATGGGAAGTAGCTCCGGCAGTGCAGTAGGAGTTGCTGCCAATGCGATCGCCTTTTCTCTCGGCACAGAAACGGACGGCAGTGGTAAGACTATGGCATTGTTTCATTGATCACGCGCATTTGTCACTAACTCGGCATCAGTAATCAGCCCTGCTCATAAGAATGGCGTAGTAGGCATCAAGCCGACTGTCGGACTGACCTCAAGAGACGGGTACGTTGATAAATCATCACTAGATAACTGATACCCCGCGCAGATAAGCCTTTATTGACCTGTTGAATGTAGAGTCATACCAGAGTGCGAGCACCAAGACACAGTTGGCACCTTCGGCCGAACTGTCCGCGATGCAGTGTACGCCCTCGATGCTATCTACGGGGTCGATCCAAGGGACAGCTACACCGAAGCCCAGAGCGGAAAGACACCTCCACCGGGAGGCTACGCTCAATATCTGACTAACAAAACTAGCCTGCATAACGCAACATTCGGCATTCCGTGGAACAGCTTTTGGGCTATTGCGAATGAAGAAACCAAAGCACAGCTTGGCAGCTTGATAACTCTCATCCAAAAGAATGGCGGTACCATTGTCAACTTCACTGAAATTACTGATCACGAAAATGTCGTGAATAAAGCAGGCTGGGATTGGAATTGGCAAGGCAAGATCGGCCACCCCGAAAAATCAGAGTACACCATCGTTCTGATAGACTTCTATAACAACATCAAGAAATACCTCTCTGAACTCCAGAACACGAAGATGCGATCGCTTGAGGATATAATCAAGTTCAATTACGAAAACGACGGAATCGAAGGAGGGTATCCTTTCGATGGGAGCTACACAATGTCCGGACGTTACAAAGTGTTTCACGGCCTACCAGCTTTTCGCTCCGGGCAAGATGGATTCCTGATGTCTAATGCCACTCAAGGCATTCGGAACGATACTTACTGGAAAGCTCTCAACTACATGCAGACCACGACGCGTGTCGGCATCGACGGTGCACTGAACCACACTGGAAACCCGCTTTCAGGCTTGCTCGTGCCTATCTCAGTAGCCCAAACATATCAGATAGCTGCGCAGGCTGGATACCCGATGATCACGATCCCAGCAGGAGTATATTCAGACACGGGCATGCCCTTTGGGTTGGGAATCATGCAGACTGAGTTTGGGGAAGAAGAACTCGTGCGATGGGCCAGTGCCATCGAAGACTTACAACTAACCTCAGAGACACCGCTCAAAAGAACGCGGCCGAAATGGCTGAGACACTTGGAAAAACCTATTCCCATCAGCCGTGAGCCGAAGGGTAATTGAAATAGCCGCGAGACCATCTACTCAAATTGCGCAAAATGTCAAGTAGCAGAAGCCTCCAAGCGACGAAAGAAATACAGAAAGTGACATTCAGGATAGAAATTGTTCCTAAGTACAAAAGCTTCAATCATACTTACCAAGCCTTGTTCGATCCTCAAACCAAGTCTCTGCATGTGCATGATGCCGAAGATATCCAGCCACACTACAGATCTATAATTGTCAAAGCCTCAGGTAGTTACTCCCATTGCCGCAAAAACTCCACAGCCTCGTCAAAACTTTGTCGGATGACCTCGACATGCTTCTCGCTTCTCGGGACAAACTTCACCTTGTATTTCTTAGGGGTGTGCAAAAGCCCCTCAATGTACCCTTCCGGGCTCGAATCTAGTTCGACCTCCTTCCCGTCGGACCCAATCGCTGGCTCTATCTTGAATGCCCAGAGGATTTGTGCTACCATGCGCCATTGAGACCGCTCAGCGAGATGCAGCCCGACACACATTCGTCGCCCTGCACCGTACGAGTAGTGATCACGCTCTTCGTAATTGGGTGAAGCGGCGAGTTCAGGCGCGAGTTTGTCGGCGACAGGGATGTAGCGGTCTGGGTTGTAGGTGAAAGGGTCCGGCGACAAGTCGCTATTGTGGTTGAGTGCGTATGCTGGAATGAAGATGGAGGAGCCAGCTGGGATGAACATGTCACCGTACCATCGGTCTTGCTTGGAGGCATGAGGTACGCCGGTAGGTACTCTGGGTGCATTGCCTACATCAGCATCATGCTCGAACTCGGAACGGGTTGATCACTGATCAGAATACTCACACTGGTTTCGCTCGTAACCCTTCTTTCACAATGCAATTAATGTACGGCAAGCTCTTGAAGTCAGACCAGTTGGGAAATCTTTCTGTGCCACAGACTCTGTCGAGTTCGACTCTTGCTTTCTCCTGGGCCTCAGGGTGCTTCGCCAGGAGCATAATATTCGTCAAGGTCGCTGTGGCTGTGGTATCGGCAGCTGCCATCTGTAGGCCTCCTAGGAAGTTATTGAACGCTGTGTAGCTGAGGGGCACATCACACTTGATTTCTTCGTCGAGAAGTTTGTCAATGAGAGATTCCCTCCTGATACCCTGGCTTCTTCGCAATTCCACGTCTTCGCGAGCTTTGGTCCAAATGTTTGTTATGGTGTGGTATAATTCCTTTCCTCGTTGTCTGGACTTGGCTAAACGATCCGGGATCCATTTCAGAATTGGAAATTGATCCACAGGCAGGTAAGAACCAGGCTCGAGAATAGTAGAAACCTTGACAAGATCAGCTGGGTTCTTTTGCAAGCTTTGAAAAAGACACATCGACGATAGAACTGCTTACTCCATCCATGGCGATGTAAACCGCCTGGTTTAGATTAGCTTGTGTAACATGGTTGACACACCTGAATCAAGGAAGATGAACTTACATATGCCCAGAAGCTTTCCCAACTGGGAGCACGCTGACCGAAAATTGTGATGGTTGCGATAGAAGCAGTTGTTCTTTTCACACTCTCCATGAATTCATCAGGCTTCTCTAGTAGGTCGTGCATTAGGACAGAAATCCTACTCACGTTAGATACAATGCTTCTGGGGGCCATATGAAACCATTTGAAGTTGTGCTTGAAACTTACTCAGACTCTTGTACTCCCCTTAGTGCGCCGTCGAGATTCTTGGGGGAGAAGTACGTGGCTGTAATCTTCCGTTCTGCTCTCCATACAGGACCATCATGCATCAAAGAAGTATTCTCTTGACGCATAGCGAGGTCATACTGCTGATCAATCGGTCTGTCATTGTAATACGCCCCTTTTGATGTCAAGAGTTCATGGACGGCATGTCTGTCATTGAGCACAACCATAGTGCTTTGCCCGACTTTGAGAGAGTAGATCGATCCATATTGATCGGCCCACTCTTTGAGTCTATTCTTGATTAGTGATGAGGATCACTGTCACGGGACTGGCTAGTACTTACTTGGCGTACACGCCTCTCGATGGAATCAGATGAGCATTCCCAAGGATGGGAAGTGTTGGTGGACCGGGCGGAAGATGTTTCTCTCTACTGCCGAAGGTGAGGATTTTGAATGCGAGGAACGCAGCGGGAATGATCCAAATGAGTGACGGGTAGCTACCCAGCACGGGAATCTCGATCGTTGTCACTGTCATGGCGAGTGTTCTGGCATGAACTAGGTGATCAAACCTGAGGATGGAGGATTACGGAGGATCCAGTCTTAGTCTTAAGCATGTTCTTTAGAGAGAGCACAGGCAAAAGCGTGGATTTGGAAGACTCATCGAAAAGGCCCAATCATAATTGCCGGCAGTCCATTGCATTTTATACATCGGATCTGACTTCCTCGGTCTGAACAGCCTACCTTACTTGGCGCATGTCTATCACGCAGTGGGGCGCGAATCGTTCCTATGCAATCGCGTCCCGTCCCGCCCGTCGTCTTAGCCCATCGGGTATCTTGCTAGAGCGGACAAAGATTGGCGTGCTTATGCAACCCCAACTGCATCTCCCGCTGAGTCAATCGGATGTTGCCAGGTTCGGCAACTGAATCGTAGAAAAGTGGTCTCTGCGTGGCCACTGCCGGGCACCGGGCCGAGAGACGTGTAAATGGGCCATCGGGTATCATCTTGCCGCTTGCTACTACTGAGTAGCCCACCGGGTTTCCCGTTATGGAAATGGATAGACGGAGTTCGGTGGGTAAGTTCGCCATAAAAGATCACTTGCACAAAGTGCTTCCTGCAAGGTGACGTGGTTTCGAGACAAGTTGTTGAGAAAAAGCATGAAAAGTTGTGAGGGTTGCACCAGTCTTGCCGTTTAACTTCACAAAGCGAGAGGTGGTACGCGTGAAACGCGCTTTGAAGTGTGTGGCTCTTCGGGCCTCGTTACTACCGCCGAGAGCTGTGATACGATGTCTTGGAAGACATGACTATCCAATCCAAGTAGTTATCTACATATCTGACGAGAAGAGCATTTGATGGCCGTTGCCGAGTTGGAATACTGACGACTTTGAAGTGATGGGGTGTGGTTCGTAAATGGTCAAGCTGACTGCAGCCGCCGTAATTGCTTTAACTCCATTGGCTCTGCTGGGATGAGGCCAACCCCGTATAAGCTGCATTGAAATCCCCTTTGGGCATCGTGAGCGATGGGATGTTCCCGGAGCAAAATCTCATGTGCATCCGGCACCTTGATTGATAGAGACGGCCCAGTAAATCGTGCAGGTGTCGAGATGCAGCAATTTTCACTCGAGTGCCTGCCCTTTGACATTAATCTGTCAGCCACAGTGGGGTAGCAACATCATTTCTCTCGTTTTGAGCTTCACGTGCAGCACCAAGGAAGACTCTGCTTGTGTGTTCTGCCTTGTGACTCAATGTCTTGCCTCGTGATTAAGTTGAGGGATGTCACTGAAAACCTTTGACTCGGCCTTTTTCATTTCACTTAAAACAGGTTCAGCAGCGGGCATTCCATGCTTACCTGTAAGCTGAGTCTCTGACAGGCAAGACATGAGTTGTGACATGATATTTGCACGTATAAGGTGCCATCTATTCAGAGTGACTCGCTCAAGCAAGTGCCCTCTTTAAAGAGACTCGACCGCGCAGGAAAGGCCTGAGAGTCTTGTTGGCAAGAGAAGGAATAGAAGACCCGAGATCGGGCCGTGTCTGTCCGGCATTTCCGGCCCACCACGGCCCACCACGGCCCCACTGCGGCCGTCTGTGCTCCCAAGGTCGCAGTGTCAATGTCATGGCCGCTGTGAAACAGGGGATGAATGCTCAAAGATAAGATGAAACCGAGCTTGTATTATTGTATTCATTACTTGAGACGACAACCTGTCCAGAAACAAGACGCGGATCCTGCGCCGCGCGTTCTCGTCATGGAAAAGCCAGTCTCAGAAGAGTCAAGCTTCCGGCACTTGACAAGATGTGTCGTTGAGATGCTCGCGCCCTTGCTTAGAAGACGCTAGCAAATGCGCCCAGAAGACCAACTGCTACTGCAGTCAGAAGCGCATTGCTCGAGAAACTCATCGACTTGTGTCCTGAAGAGATGCCAGAGGGAACCTTGGACGGTGTTACGGCACCGGTGGGGGCGGTGGTGGTGGAGTTGCTCTTCTTCGCATTCGCTGCAGGTCCGGGGTTGGTGACAGTGAAGAAGTTTCCGGCTACCACCTTGTTGGCTAATCCAGCGGTGGTGAGCACAGCGTTGACATCAACCCCTCCGCGGGTTGACAGTGTCTGCAGGGCAGCCGTCCCGTCCGCCGTGATGTCGCTCGTGTCGACAAGCAGCTCGATGTACCGGTGCGAAAGGGGAACTCTTGCTGGTGGTGCGGGGCCCTTGTAATCCGCAATCGCGTTTGAGGTGGTCGTTAAGGTGTGGATGACGCGCTCGCCGTCGTTCAGCTTGACAGTGGTAGTCTGCGCGGCTGGCGTCAGGTCCGCCTGAGCCCAGTGCAAGAAGGTGCCGGTAGTTGGAGGGCTCGCGGTAGGGATATCGATGTCGACCATGATGATTGCGTAGCTTTTTCCGGTCAGGGGCTCGGTCGTGCCAACTGTAGGCTCCGTTTGCGTGACTGAGATACAGAGTTAGCTTATTTCCGTCTTTGCAGCAGACAACTACTTACGGCTTTTGGCCAGATCCACGCCATTGAGACCCGACGTCTGACCGTATGCAACAATGAGGTCGACATTGGAAGCGGGCTCAAAGCCCTCGGGCGTCTTGGCCCATGCCACCAGGGCACTGCTCAACAAGACGACAAAGGTAGGGCGATGCATTGGAATAGCGATTATTTGGAAGAGTTGGGTTGACCAAAACTGAAAAATTTGAAAGAAAGTTGGATGGACTGTCGTCTTATATCAAGTATGCGGAGTCGTGAAACGCCTGTCCAGTCAGCAGGGATGCGGCTCGAACACGTTCCACGCGTCTGATCTCCAGACATGAAATTTCTCTTCTACGACCCAAACTGCATTGATGGACGAGCTCGTACCTGAGACGACGCAGTGGACACATTACGCAACCATACTATTTCGACTTGAGAGAGCCCTAGCTACTTGTTCCTTTTGCTGAAGTATTATGCAGTTCCTCGCATGTTCATCGGATCTGAGCTCGTAGGTAGTGTACTTATGAAACCCATGGGGAGGATAGCAGGTAGTGACCGATGCCCTCAAACCTTCCACGCATAGGAACTTGATACTTACGTTATCGGCCGTTAGACGCCATCGGTTCCAATCGTCTCACAAAGAACTGTACATGTGTCGTTCCGAGATGAAATTGAAGTAATTTGATTATCGTGACTCCACAATGACGTGCATCTATTATTTGATTATCCGAGCTAGGAAGTGTATATACTAGTGAGATTGCTCTCATGCCAACAGATGTGGTGTCTCAAGCCGCTTGATGCTTTTGGTGCAAAATTCAAGCGGCGATGGTGATGGACATACCTTTCGATACATACATCTATCGTCATAAAGCCTTCGTACCTGTAGAAAAAATACTCATACCAAAGCCTCGGTGATCTGGGAAACTTTGTGTCTGGCATGTGCTCGACGCAGCAAGTCAGCGATAGACCAGATGCATGATGCTAAGAAGTATTCGGAACGGGCCAAGTTTAAAGATATTAGGGTTCGCTAACAATAGACAATAATCAAGATTTGAACTATGTGTCTAAGCAAGTTTCGATGCAAAGAAAGTTAGCTGAGAGAATGGATAAGCGCATGTTGACGGCGTGTTTAGCCAGCCTACTTCACCGCTTGGATCAGTGTAGCATACATGTAACTCTGTCAGAACCTCGCTGAATCTCTCTTCTCCAAAGGTTTCTTCAGTTCATGAAATGACGCATTTCCTAGAGGCTTGCGTCAGTCCTGTCGGCATCACGGCTTTCAACCTTGTGTATGGAGTATACCGGTGCCAATGGAAAGTCGACATTTCGTGTCACATTTTGGTTATAGTCTTGCCTTAAACATCACGCCTATCTAAGTGCTCACAGGACCAAAAGTGGTTGGTACTTAACACTAAACAGAGAGGAGTAGCAGCAGCAGCAGCAGCAGCAGCAGCAGCAGCAGTTGTTGTTGTTGTTGTTGTTGTTGTTGTCGAAGGATACAGCCTTGCTTATTGTCTTTGTAGCCAAGATTGCCCAGCATGTGCTGCGGCCTTACCTGCCTCAACAGAATAGGCCCTGGATCCAAGTCATCCGCTATCGTGCGTCGTCGAATACTCGACTTTGAATTTACTCACGAAAATATAAATCAATCTGTGGCATGAATCGACATAATTCGATGCATTGAATAGCTAAGTAGATATGAAAAAGGGCTCATGCCGATGCAAGTCATAGTGCAATCAAATTAAATGTGAATGGCAGTGATAACGTTGTATAAGCAACATGGAATATTACAGCGTGGGTTTGTAACTTCGAAGTTCGAAGGGTGGTATGATCTTTCATCCAACAAGGGCGGATATGAAGGTATGAAGACGCGTTGCTGGTGACTTTGTCATCAGCTGTCCCTTGTTGAGAAAGGCCGGAACTCAGGTGTATGTATCGACCGCACCAGCGTACAAGACTTTGTCGAGTGCGCTAATGTGAGGTACTGAGACCAGGGCCTTAACGTTGTGTTGTTAGGTACGTACTATGAAACTAGAGTTCTCAGCCATTGATACAACCCACGAACGGCTTCCGCCGAAGTGATTAGAAGACAGAAATATATTTGTTCTCACGGATTGGTAACTCGTTGCAATCGAAAGCATGTTACATGCTTTACTGGTCCGACATTTTCGGGCATACGGTGCTTCGATAGGCATCACTTACCTGTCCCCACTGAAGAAGACATTCGTCAATCTACAACTCAATCGCGGCATCGCCAGATCACATCACTGGGTCGGACCCTGCGCTGGGTTTCTCGGCGCGATCTCGACCGCCTCATCTTTCACAGATCACTATAAGTAGTTGTTTAAATAAGCCTCCAAAAGCGAGTGCCATGCCTTTTAGACGTTTGGGGCTGATCGTATACACAAAGTCGAAATTCGCCGCGGACCACCTGCTGCTCCGAGCCTACGATAAGCGCTGACCTGCAATCTTGTCAGCTGACAGCCTCCAAGATTACAAGGGGCCTCGGATCCGGGGAAGCTGCCGGCTCCCAGGATATTGGCGTATTCCTCGGGAAGAGCGCCCCTTGGCGATAGGGTGCGAATCCGATTATTGAGCATGGAATAGAGTTACACTAAAAGCATCGCTGTTCCCGGTTTTCCTTGAGGCTGGAATTTCGCCACGCGGGACGACTTAATTTATTTTGAGCGCTTTGACCGTGCTATTTGACAACGTCAGGCCACATCGAGAGACTTACGACTCGCTGAGCGGTAGGTCCTTTTGTATCCACAAACCGACGAAGCGCCAATGTTTGACCATTTTGGAAAGAATTATACTTAATCCTTGTTGTCATCGGCTTCTCCTCAACAATTGTTAGCCGAGGTAGACGCAGCCTTCACTTTCAAGTTTCACTATGTGCCATATCGCCGTCTACACAGTCCAAAGAGGAACGAATACTACTGCCACGACTCAATAAGCGAGCTTCGTATCCATAGCAGCCCACCGGCTTACTATTATCTCTCGTAGCGCGGAGCACTAGCTCAAACATGATTTATGCCGACACCTGCCCCAAGCGGACCATCCAAAGGGGAGTACGGAGAGTCGCTGAGGAGCGGAAGACATAGGTCTCCCATGCTCGTCTTCTCCACGCCGCTCGCGGTCCGGTCGCTATCCGCTGGGCAGAACTACCGGGGAATTTTTACCAATCACTCGATCGTAAGTTTGAGTTGGGAACAAGCGGAATGGTGGCCTATGACGAATGGACGATGTAACAAGGTCTCGAATGTTAAACAGAGTTTGATCAAGCTTGGTCCTGGAGACTGAAGAGGAATGGGTGGATATCCGTAAGGCCATTCAAGAATCCCACCATCCAGCGAGGTAGCACTGTAAGTTGAAGCATGTTTTGCACTCCGTAAGACACATCTCGCAGCCAGCCACTTTTTCTCTACCGGGTCAATCAAGTCCTCAAAGATCATACGGCTGAGACAAGCGCCTCGAACGACACCTGTCAGACAAGCAGGCCTGCAGATCTCGCTCAAGGCCACGTGTGTGGGGAGATAACGTCAGACATCCGTCGCGGAAGCCGACATTGACATGGTCTTTGACTCGAGTCCGAGTCTCGTTGAAGAATTGTTGTTGTTCCAACACCTGTTTTGCTAGCCCTTGGTAGGCGGACAGAGCACGATGCTTGAATCATAACCGTGGTCCCTCCACCTGCACCACTACTAATCAGGCCAAGCTAAACCAGGGACCGCAATTGCTGCGACCCTAACTTGGCGTCGTTTATCCTTGCGTTCATCCCATTTTGACCTTTTAATCTTGTTGATCAATCTAATTGAGTTTCTGTGCGCATCCTTCCCGAGGCATGGACCGAGTAAGTTGATGACTGCTGCGATGGACTTTGAGATGCGCGCGGTTCTGCGATTGAGGCACATGGTGGCCCTGATCCGTCCTTCGTCCGTCTGTCCGCTCCTCTCGCCAAGTCATATCTTCTCCATGTCAGCGACTACAATTCTTTCATTATTCGTTGGATAGCTTCCTCCCGTCTGGATCTTCGTTTCTTCTTGCACCTCTTTGTGCGCTTCTTGGCGCCGTCGACTTCTTCTCAATGTCGTCGGATACCATGTCAGCTCGGCACGCCGAGAATAAGGGGCCAACTGCTCTGGCAATCGTCGTGTGTGTATCAGTTCTCAGCACAGTCTTTACCGCAGCAAGACTCTTCACAAGGGGGAAGGTTCTCGGGAAAATCAGTCTGGACGACTACTTTATTGTTGCGTCTGTGGTGAGTTCTACAACTTCAATCTGTACCCTCCTGTTCATGGCAAAACGACTATACCAATAATACGAATCCGCTCTGTTCTTTCTCCTTCCACTCTTCCGGTCTTTCTGAGACAAGTTGCCGCTATAGAAGTGGAGTTCAAAATGATCATCTGTCAGATCGAGACATAGCATCGTTCAACTAACTGTTGTGACTTTAGGTTTGCGGTTGGATGAACGTTGCAACTGTAGCAGTTGCTGTTTCCTACGGATATGGACGCCATGCCGATACCCTTTCTGTCGATGAAAAGTCAGGTGCCATGCTTTGGAGCATTGCCGGTTACCCGCCCGGCCTTCTTTCATTCGGCATCCCGAAACTCGCCGTCGTCGCGTTGCTCACCCGAATTCTGAACCCAAGTAGATGGCACAAGAGGTTTCTTTGGGCCTTGTCCATAATTTGCGTCGTCAACTTAATTGGGTTCATCACGATCATCTTTGCCCAATGTTCACCAGCACGCTCCCAATGGGATTCATCAGTCTCTGGTAAATGTTGGAGCAAGTGGATCCTTGTATCCTTCGCGACGTACTCAGGAGGTAAGCTACTATGGTTACCACTCAAGCAATAGCTTTGAATCGGCTAACAAATCTAGCATTTTGTGCCTTTGCCGATGTCTACCTTTCCGTGTACCCCGCCGTTGTCTTGTCGAAATTACAAATGAACCGAAGGAAGAAGATTGTACTTAGCGTAGCTCTCGGTTTTGGTTCGCTGTAAGGCTTCAATGTATAAGTTATACCCCGACAACAGTTTACTAAGACTCTTTCAGTTCGGGAATTGTGGTCATCTACAAGTGTATCAAACTCCCGAGCCTCACAAGCTCGGATTACACATGTAAGTTCTGGATCTCGATCAAGCGATTTCGCAGTAGCAACTAACACTTTGTGACACAGATGACACCGTTGAGCTTGTAATTTGGACAGTGTAAGACGAAGAACCCCTTACTCAAGACTTACATCAACTAACTTGAGCTCTGTAGTGTTGAAGGCAGCATCATTATCATAGCCGCATGCATCCCTGTCTTGCAACCCCTCGGCGAACTCCTATTCGGCAAACGCATCTTCTCCTCAGGCAACGGCAAATACTTGTCAGGAAACTCCAAATCGAGACTCAGTGGCAGATTGGGGACAAAGAAGGGACTTTTCCGAACTCCTGTCAAGAAGGCTTCTCAAGAGGGATTCGACGCGGATAGTTTCAACAGCGTTGGCAAGACGACAGTTGTTGGAAGGGGTAGTCAAGAGAGTATCCTTGAGCAGCATGACTCTGATGGGAAGATTGTACGGACAGATGCTTTCACCGTCACCATCGAGATGAGAAAGACGGACAGGCATTGATTCTTTTCCCATTGATTCTAGTCACTTTGTTAAATTCCTGCTGGGACAACACTCGTTGTTTTATCAAAGCACAAGAACAAGTCTGCTATGTCGTACCCTCACGCAAATTTCATCTAAACTTTTTGCATGTTGTTTCTTAAATATGAATCCAGTCGTCTAATGTTGGTGCATCTTGCATGTCTTATGAGGAAATTTCACAATGGCATATCTGCTTCTAGAGCTATTGTTGAGCTACCTTAGGTACTGCTTTCGAGATGTCGACATCAGTGCCATGTTGAACATTGCTAACACAACCTTCGTCATCAATTGAGCTCAAGACCCCGGAATCATAGCGTGAGCATCGACTCTATGTGGATTCGCACTCAGGGTGCATACTTAACAACATGCTCTACATTATTGGTAGCAGCTACTTACTTGAAAACTTCTGCGACGATTATCGGCCAAATTTCTTAGCGGTTTTGTTTCTCATCACATTGTACACGTATGTAAATATTCTAGTCCCTACCAAGTTTGCATTGCTTATCATGACATCAAGGAATGTTTTCCGCCCTGTCATCCACCACCTTATTGGCGCCATATGTATGGGGATGCGCGAGCTTGATGCCATTATTAGCCGCTTCGACTTGATACCAATGCGAGCTTTGTGTTTTGCAACGGCCAAACCGAAAGAAGGAGAGTATCGTTACAAATAGACAACTTCCCAGTGCCTCAGCCAGCTGTACTTGGTATAACAGATGGCACAACGCATCCAATGACAGTTCAATGGCACAAAGGTGTATCCTGTATCCTCCGGGTCTGCCATGATTCGTAAGTTTTGACAACCCTAAGATAAATATTCTTCAAACCGATGATACTACATGTAGGCTTATCCAAATCCTGATTCTTGACCGACCATATGTCTAATATTGTTAGTATCGATGTTGCTAATGCTAGGTAGCTAGATACTCAGGTAGGGTTTTTTGATGATGGCATTGTGTGCAAGTTAAATTCCCTCAAAGTATTGCAGCATATGTAACTCGACACCTGATGACATAACAGTATTATAAGCTTCGGAATTGGGATTAACACCTGCAGAGAATCGTCATGGAAACTTTCGGCCGGAGGAAGTGCGGCTGCCATAGACACAACCAGGTGTATGAAAGAGGTACCCCCGGCCTTCCTCTATTGACAAAGCCAGTCAAGAGGCTGGCCACAAACACTCGATGTGACAGACGGTCAAGCATCAAATCGTGGCCATGTGTGAAACCGTCACCTCACATTCTCACCCAGCCGCTGTCAACAAGAGCAACTTATTCCCGTTTCAAAATCATGTCTCACAATCAGGAGGTTTTTGACAACCTCGCGTGGCTGAGAGCGAATTTTGCGGCTGAATTGCGCCAGTCGCAAATGTCTCAAACCCTGATACTCCGCGTGCGGCGTTCATTCTGGACCATGCCAGCGGGCTGCAGCGGGAGCACCCTTCTCCATTCCTCCGGCGGCGCACATGGCCACCTACTATAGCACAGACTGTTCCGAATTCGGGGGTCTTCGAAATGTTCTCGACTGAACGGTGGCACGCACTGTTATGGAACTTACACGCTAGGGGCGGCAGCTGAAGGCGGGCCGCCCTAGTAACCCGACCCTTGGTGCGGGGGGGGAAGATGGTTGATGGCGACAGTTGGAGGAATGTCGTGCCATAGACGAGGCGCCTCGTCGTTCGACTCGTGGGTTGCGGTTGTTTTCAAGGCGCCACGCCGCCACCGCCCACTACTCGGTTATATGAATCTCTCGGGCCGCGATTTCTGTCAGCTGCAATTGACAGTCCGTGGTGGAATGCTCTGGCAGTCCTTCTTATTGCTCAAACCTCATACTTGCATTCAAGCCACGCCGGGTGGTCATTGGCTACTGAACGACATATGATGTCCCTTTACAAGCTTTGAGCCAGCCACATAATTCCAGGGTCATGTCTGGTGTGAGCAGAATGGTCGTGATCGTCGGGAAATACTGTAAAGTATGTCATGGCCCACGTCTGGTCGATGCCAGCGGAACGTTTCTGCTACAAAGATCGCTGTGACCTTAAGGGTCCGGGATTCATTGTAGAGAAGAGCTGCGAATCGCGAAAGTTCGAACCAGATGTGATACTGATGATGAGCTACATGTCATAGTCTCTGGCACTCTATTCAAGTAGACCAATTCGTTCCAGGGCTAAAGGACCTAGAAGATGACATGTGCCACAAGCATAACATGCGCTATGCCATTATCATCGTCTCCTCCATGTAAGTTCCAATCTGGATTTCAGTTTCCAGAGGCGTTCAACTGATCGCAGCAGTAGAAGAAAACATGAAATTTAGAGTGTCTTCATGAAATGCATCTTGCCTGTTCTGGTTAGGTCAACTGCCATTCGAGATGCCAAAGGAGATGTGTATCCTCAGCCGCGAGAAAGATGGTGTTCTGTTATGGCATGCTTGCGGATCTTGCGTGGTGTTCCTATCCAAGTTCAGAAGAAGCTGAAAAACGTGGACTGAACAAGTAAGGGCCCAGTTGCTGTTACACTTGGGAGTCTGTTGTATAAAGACCAAAGATGTTTCCTCTGAAAATGTCTTCTTCTCCTCATCACCACAATCAGCTTCTTCACTTTTCACTATCATCTCCATAAGCCTCAACCATCCACTTTAAACTTTCTTCTCCCACCTCACTACCAAACACAAGTTCCAAAATGGCTCACCTTCTTTCCGCCTCAAAGCTCGCTGCTCTCTACGACAGCAAGACCCACGAACTCGTCCTCACAGCCCAGGTCCCCGCCATCGTTCTCAACCCCAAGTTTGTTCGTGTCGAGGGCTTCGTCGGTGGCCTCAAGTTCGCCCTGCAGGGCTTCTTCGGCGGCGTGCTGCCCCCGGGAGTCCGCGATATCCAAGACGTTACCACAAAGTTCCCCGTCATCCTCCCCACCTCTCACTTCAACAACAAGACCGTCTTCATCGACACCGCCGACGGCACCAAGGAGATTGAGATCAAGTACACCGGACTCGAGGGCGTCGTCCCCACCACCGGCGTAGACTTCACCAAGCACGACAACACCGCCATCGGCAGCGTCGTGTCTCCCATCCACCTCGCCCTTGGCGCTGATCACGAGACCACCATCACTGCCGTTGTCCAGAAGGCTGAGGGCGACTTGAAGATTTCCGTCGTGCCCAGCTTCAACGAGGAGTTCCTGAGACTCGTCAACGCCACCGTCCACAACGGCGTCATCTCCTACACTTTCCGCTGGGCCAAGCTCCCTACCGAGGAGGGCCAGAACCCCCAGCTCATCAACGTTACCACCACCACTTACAACGGTCTTGTCGGTCCTGCCGCCCGCACCACCAGTGTTGTCCAGGGCTACATTGTCCGCTTTGTCGTTTTCCAGGAGTAAATGACTTGAAAGGGTGTTGCGTGCGTCTAGCCAGGGTTCAGACTTCTTCGAGATGTCCCTTGGCATGGACGGCGGAAGTTGGGAGGCTTTATAAAAGCCGATGTTGGAATAGGGGACGATTCCATTTCTTTCGCCTTCCAAAAGGCTTTCTTCATTCTAGCTAGCTCCGTATTCAACGACGAAAATTTCATTTTGTTTCTTACTTCTGCTCCATGACACTGATAATCACTGTATCAATAAGCTCTATTATCTATGTGGGTTCGACCCTACCAAAATGGTGGACCCCTAAACTTGTCCTGGGTGATACTGCCAATCCCTTTGAAATGCAGTAAACGATTCCGACTACCCAGTCTTCACCCTGAGAAAACCCCAAGTGTCCTATGTACGGGCTAACAAATAATTTACTGCGGCGTAGAGAACAGGTCCCCATTCAAGTACTTCAAACCCGAGTCGCACGCGATGGTAACCACCCTCTTCCCAGCCCCTATCTCCGCCGCCAACCGAATCGCAGCAACCACATTCAAACCCGTGGACACGCCCGCGAAAATACCTTCGTCTCTAGCTAGACGCCGACACATGGCACGCGCTTCATCCTCCGAGACGGCCCGCGCCTCGTCATACAGCTTCTTATCCAAGAGAGGAGGAAGAAAGCCGATACCAATTCCCTCGACACCATGAGAACCAGCTTGACCTCCTGTGATGACGGGCGTTGACGCGGGCTCCAGTACAACCACGCGCGTCTCTGGCCTAGCTGCCTTCAAGACTGCCGAGACACCCATCGCCAATCCAGCGGTACCAACAGCAGCGCAGAAGACATCGACGCCCTCTGGAACTTGCTGAATGATCTCATGGCCCAGGGCCGCGTATCCGACCAAGGCGTCCCGGTTATTGAACTGGTCCGTAGAATACACATTCCCCTCCCTCTCGACCTCCTTCGCCCGCCGAATCAAAGAAGGAATCAAATCAGCAGTAATCCGTCCCGTCGGACTGTGAACAATATCAACCTTGGCCCCAAACGCCGCCATAGTCTTGAGCTTCTCCACTGCATAAGCGTTGGAGCTAACCGGTTGGAACTTGTAGCCCTTGACCGCGCAGACGAAGGCGAGCGAAGACCCCGTGCTGCCGCCTGTGGCCTCGACGACTTTCATGCCCGGCTTGAGGGCACCTCTCTTCTCGGCCTCTTGGATGATGGCGGCGGCCATGCGGTCTTTGTGGGAGCCTGTTGGGTTGGTGTATTCGAGTTTGAGGTAGACATCTGCGTGGTTTGCGGGGACAATTCGGCGGAGACGGACAAGGGGTGTTTTGCCGATTGCGGCGAGCGCTGTTTCTGATGCTTTTAACATCTTAGGCGTTGAGAGTTTGGCTATGTTACGGTGTTTGATGGTGGGCGAAGATGGCGATATTGGGAATGTTGGCAAGGGGTTCTTGAGACTCAGCTGGGTGGGTCAGTTTGATGCTCCTTGCGCCCTTTTGAATACATGTATGGTAAACATCAAAGAGACCCAAGAATGAGATTTGCCTGAGCCTCATTACGACCATATAGATGTGAGTTATTCCCTGATCGATCTGGCAACTCTGAAGGACTCATGATACCACATAGACAAGTCTCCAAAAAGCAGTTGTGGTCTGCGATTACCTTTGGTGGTAATTGAAACAAGGTCGTGATCCTACCAACATGTCTTAGTCGTTGTGCCTTCTGACATGGGCAAAATGTAGTTCATAAATCACAAGCAGTGCGTCAACACTTATGCAATCCAATGACTAGCTGGATGATCTCGATCGACCCAACTTAGAGTTAAATATGGATACCTTGTTGAAGTGGGTTGCTGAGGGGATTTCGCAACTCCCATGTCCGTTCAGGCCTAAGCGATGAAAATGAAAATGAAAATGTGACCGGTCACCGCGGGACGTTTGTCGAGGCAGCGATTACGTGATCAATCAGAGGTCCATGCGTCCGTTCAACGGTTTTGGTCCCACCTGCTGCACAGTCTCGAACGGTAAACCCACCATAGCTGCGCGTCTCCGGGATGAGCTTGCTCCATCGACTGGCACGCATCACAAGCCAGACGACCTTCACTTACAGACCTAGTCATTTCTTGCCCTCGTGCTCACTTGATTTAACAATCGCACATACTCAACATACTTTTCAGTCTCGTGTTGCTGCTCTCACAATGCCCGCCGTCACCCGCAGCCTGAGGTCATCGACGCGCCTGGACAAGGCCGCCCCGCCAGCGGATAAGAAGCCATCGCCAGCGAAACCCAAGCCCACAACCAAGACAGAAAAGAAGACCAACAAGCAAACTCCACAATCTCCGCCTCCGCCCAAGGCCACTGCAGGTCAAAAAAGAAAAGTAGTAGCATCAATCGAGAAGGAAGAGGAGACCAAAGCCGAGGCTATCGACCACGAGGACGAGCCGAAGCCGAAGCCCGCCAAGAAAGCCAAGGTAAGCTGAGTGAAATTACACACCGGCTATCACTAGGAGCTGCTCCGTTTTCTATTCTTGGTCTCATTTACGGATACTTATGCATGAAAAGAAGCCGGCGGCAGGGAAGAAGGAAGCGCCGCCAAAGAAGACAAAGGACGAACTCAAGGCCCTTCGCGATGCGCCCGTCCCGGACGTCAACGCCGAGGCGGAGCCACGGGATCCGCCGGGCTCGCGGTACTGGCTCATGAAATCTGAGCCGGATGTTCGCATCGAGGATGGGTATGAGATCAAGTTCTCCATTGACGATTTGGCGGCCAAGAAGACGCCCGAGGGCTGGGAGGGTACGTTCATCGTCCTGGACTTTTCTGTGTAAGTGTGGAGCAAGTGATTGACAAAAAGCGCAGGTATTCGTAACTATGTCGCGCGGAATAACCTGCGGGGGATGCGGAAGGGCGACAAGGCGTTCTTCTACCACTCGAATTGTAAAGAGCCTGGTGTTGTTGGTATCATGAGTATAGCCAAGGAGCACTCGCCCGACTGTGTGTTCTCCACCCTTCCAGCTCATACTCATGAGACTATTTGGTTGACATAGCTATCAGGGAACGCATGCATCAATGACAACCCGTACTACGACGACAGTGCCCCGCACGACGGGAGCAAATGGAGCCTCGTCCACGTCAAGATCGAGCACAAGTTCCCTCGCATCGTGCCGCTGAGCCTGCTCAAGGAGTCGCGTGGTAACGGCCCATTGCAGAACATGGAGCTGCTGAAGCAGTCTCGTCTCAGCGTCAACAAGGTCACGCGCGAGGAGTGGGATGAAGTCATCCGCATGGCCAAGGAGCTCGATGAAGACAAGGAGTGGGATAAGACTGTTGAGGAGTCGAAGAAGTTTCCCAATTACACAGCAGCGTAGTGGGAGCGGGAGCAGGAAGGAGGGTTGTCTTTATTTGACCTTGTTTGATTAGGCTGACTGACTCTGCAAGTGGTATCAAGAAATCGGGATACTGGATACATCCCGCCGGGGGCCGCTTCTAATTCCCAATGTGTTGCGCCGAAAACACTATTCAATACCCATACTTCTTTCTTCCACCTTTTTGTTTTGTACCAACATCCATATATAGTCAACAAACATATACCCACAGCGCAATGGCAGGGCTATGACTGCAGCTGATCTCTCGTGTGCTCCAGAACCGTCCTGATACCCTCGTCGAGACCCTTGAAGAGGAGCACCAGCTCGATCCACACCAGCGACTTGCTCTCCAGCGCAGCCTTGTCGGACGTCTCGTCCAGTCCCTTGCCCAGGCGCGACAGAACCTCGCGAAGGCCGAGAGGGAACTCGGGCGTGTCGGGGCTGACGCCGACGAGGGGCAGGCGGATGTAGCAATTCCACGTCGCCGGGTGAGCGGCGTCCTGCTCCCTCATGACGTCGACGACGTGCTGGAGAATCTTGGACGCGGACGAGACCTTTGCGAAGGAGGCAAACATGTCAAAGAAGCGCTCGGCCACCTCGGGGTTGTAGAACGGCTGTTTTCTCGAAATGTCGAAAATAGCCATCGGTATGGCACCGTCCAGGGCCGGGTTGTGCTTGAGCGCCTTGCTCTCCTCCTCGTCAATGGCCTTCTTCTTCTCCTTGCCGGGCACGGGGAGGCTCAGAACGTCCTCGTCCTCGTCTTCCTCATCGTCCTCGTCAATGAGCTTGATCTCGTCGTCGTCGTCCATCTTCTCGCCAGCCAGCGGATTCTCCTGCTCCGCCTTCTTCTTGCTGCCGCCCTTCTTAGCCTGCATCTTGGCCAGCCACTCCATCTCGCACCGCGCGTACTCGATCCACAGCGTGCCCTCGCTCGTGCAGAAGCGGCACCCGCGCATGAAGTATCCTCGCGCGCCGCCCATGTCCCCGTTGGACGCCGAGCGCCGGCCGGCAAAGATCCACAGGTCAGCGTCGGTGGGCATCATGCGGAGGGCGCTGGCCATGGTCCGGCGCCAGCGCTTGGTGGCCTTGACGTCGGCGGTGTATTTGAGGTACTCGAGCCACAGGTCCTTTCTACCGGGGTGTCTGCTGACGGCGCGGTCGAAGATGGCGAGGACGCGGGATTGAGTGGTGTGCTGGGACGTGACGTGGCCAATCTTCATCCGCTTGCAGCGTTTCTGGCGGAGGGACTCGAGGGATTGTTCCCATTTTGCATAGGCGGTGAAGTCGTCGGGGTTGGAGCGGGGGGCGAGGATGCGGTGCTCGTAGTCGCTGCGCTTCTGCACGATTGTACGGATCTCATCCTGCAAAGATTTGTTAGGGTACACTGTGGTGTAGATGTTTGGCCGTGACTTGTGGTCAAGGATGGGGGAGGGGTTCTAGGTTGGTTGGTGGCGTGCGTACCTTTGTGAAGATTTCCTTTTCCTCCCATTCGCGCAATTGAGGAACAGAGCGCTCCAAGTAGAAACGGGCCTTTTCAGCAACAGACATGATTGCGGCTGTGTGGTATCGAGCACTGAATTCGAGTCGCCTGGCTGAGATGTGCTACACAGATACTCTGCCTGACGCTGCAGATCGAGAAGAGGGAAAAACCAGTCAAGAAAAAAAGTTGACAAGGCTGAGAAAGTAACCAAAACTTTAAAGCGGGGCATCTGGCAAGGTGTGGCTCCCCTGGCCGAGAGTGGACTCTGAGTGGCCCGTGTAGCTGTGGCTGGAGGGAGGAGTCCGATGAGACGGACGTCACGGACTTCAGCCTTGCGCCAAGCTCCCCCTGTCGAGCCCGGTCCCGATTGGGACTAACCCCCGACACCTTGAGGTACCTTGTCAAGTAGCTTTAACCCCGAAGAGCTTGCCCTTGCGTGCATCAGCACCTTGCCGTCCCCGTACACAGAGGTAGCGCAGGCCTCAGCGTCAGCATCGGTCCATCAGCGGCAAGCTCAAAGCTCCGTCGTCTCCCGGTCGCGTGTCCCACGGGTGCCGCTTCTGTCATCTTCCCTGTCGGCGCCAAACATTTTGGACTGATTACGTTCAACAACCTTACCAGAAAAGACTCCGTACCGTCACGGAAACCTTGCAACTTCTTTCTCCAAAGACTCCACGGTCAGGGGCCGCACTGTTGCAAAACTCCCACGACACCCAACCACGCGATTCCCTTCGATCCAATCGATTCCCCATCCGCGGGCCGCCGAGGCATGCTGGTTAATTAGTTGTGCAATTGCCAGGCACAATCCTGTCTTATTTCCGCCCTTCTCTCGGCCCTCCCCCTCCATTCATCCTTCTAAGTTCTTCCCCCCTCGTCAGCTCGTGTCATTGCATCCCCGGATCCCTCGGATGAGCTTCTTTTCTCTTTGTTTTTGTCGTTTGAGCTGAGAGAGAAACCATTCCCCTCGAGAGAGAAAGGTTCAGAGCAAGTAGAGGTTCGCAATGGCGTCAAGGTACAAAGACAAGGACGGCGGCGTCGCGCTGGTATTCAATGGCCAATGGATCAGCTACCTACATACTGCTACAGCTTACAGTAAGTCTTTCGCGCCCGGAGTTGTTGCCGCCGCTGGTCGCGATGCTGTCGCGGGGCACTTTTTGCCGTCGTACGACCGTCCGCGAAAGCTCCCAAAGCTGACTTTCCACGACAGCTGCCTTCATCAGCGCATTCATTGTAGGCGTTTCGCTGCATTACCACAAGATTGTCCAAAATGAGTGGTACGGATACCCCGACGAGTGGTTTCCCTCCGTTTCCGCGACAATTGGCGACCGATACCCCGAGCGGTCCTTCTTCATGTTCTTCATCGCAATCACCTCGGGCCCGCGATTCGCCCTCGTCGGACTGTGGTATCTCTTGACACGGAGACCCGGACAGACTCTGCCAAAGTTCACCCTGGCGATGGGCATTCTGCGCACATGCATGTGTGGTGGCTTCACCTATGTAACCTCGACCGACGACCATGACTGGCACGACATCTTCATGATCTCCTACATTGTCGCATCCCTCCCGTGGACAATAGGATGCGTCATGCTGAGCCCGCCGAACCCCCAGGCCATCAAGTACCGCAAGCTGATTGCCAGCTCCTTCTTTGGTACCCTGGTGCCCTTGATCTATTTCTTCATCCAGCACAAGGTCCACCGCGTTGCGGGAGGTAAGGTTTTCGGCCTTGGAGGGTTTGCGCACGAGCGTTATAGCTAACCGCGCACAGCTTACACGATTTACGCCTTCTTCGAATGGGCTCTCATCCTCTTCGACGTTGCCTTTGACGCCGTGACGGCTCTCGACTTCAACACGTTCGAAGTGGTGATCAAGGATGTCAAGGGAGCAAGCAAGGGGTACGTCCAATGGCTCCCGAAATAGTCTTGTACATATTGTACACCAGGCACAAAAAATAGATCCAGTTGAAGAGCACAATCTAAATCTTGCTATAGTGAGAATCGGTCATCCGTTCCGTCCGCCGTGCTCGAGAAGCAGTAAGTTTTGTGGAAAATTGTGATCAAGGGTGTAGCAGCTGACTTGCTTCAAGGAAGGAAAAGGCGAGCGCAAACCTGTTAACTGGCCGATTCACCTGGACCGAGGCACTCGACACCGCCGCCGATGTCTACCACGGCTTCATCTTTTGGTCCATGTTGACCAGCTTGGGAGTTTTGGTGTGGTACTTCCCCCTTTGGCACATGGGCATCTCTGGCTACGAGGCCTTTGTTATGTCAACCATCTTGCCCGCAACCTTGGGCATTCGCAGTGTTCGCTCCCTCGTCGTCAATAATCAGCGCGCTGTCCACCTCATCTCACTGGTCGGACTGCTGGCGTACCAGGTTCTTGACCCTGCCTACCGTCTCTTCACCGTTGGCTTCGCCGTGGCCACGTCTTGCCTTGGCTGGACTGCTTCGTTCTGGTCCGAGAGAGCACATCAGAGCCGTCTCGAATCCAGAATCATGGCTTGGACTCTTGGCCTTGTCGCCTCTTCCACGGCCAAGTTCATATGGTGGACCAACAACCCGCTATGGCCTGTTATGCACGCCGCCAACGGAGGCTGGAACGCGACAGGCTTCGCCATTGCTGTTGTAGCTGCTCTGCGGTTCACTCGGAGAGCGCCCCTGACTAGTGGCGATATCCCGGAAGACTCCAAGAAGGGCCGTTCCTCGGTCCTCGCTGCTTTTGGCGTTGGCGGTCTGTTCTTCGGAATTCACTCCCTGCTCTCCGATACCAGCACCATGATCCTCTGGGTCTGGGATGGTTACCCGATCCGGGGCCCTACTGCCAACACCTATGGTTGGATGACTATTGTCGCAATGACTGCTGGTCTCTTGGTTGGCCTCTACCGCCCTTCTTTGATGAGCTCGTGGACAGCCTACGGCGTTGGCTGCGTTGGTGCGGCTGTCTTGACCTCATACCACCACTGGTTCGGTTACTATGGTGCTCTCACCACGGCCTTCTACCTGATGGGTCTGTCTGTGCCATTCCTTTCGACCGCCGCCAAGAGAAGTCCTGGCACGACATTTGGTCTTGGGTTCTTCATCTACAACTTTATGGTGCTGTTCCACGTCTGGGTCGTCGCCTACGCATTTGTTCCTGGTGGGCCCCTTGTTCGTGAGCACACTGATTGGGTCATGATGACCACATTTATCCTCATCGGCGCCGGTGTCTTCGACCTCACCTCCTCGCAGGCCCGCCGCCGCGATACCCGCCGCGCATCCCCGTCGCAGCACAAAAAGTACAACACAATTGCAGCCGCCTTCATCAACATCGTCTTCCTGGCCGCAGCCTTCATGCGCTTCCCTACCAACGACTACAAGCCCTACCACCCTGAAGATCGCATCATGACGGCCGGTATCTGGACCATCCACTTCTCCCTCGACAACGACATGTGGTCTTCCGAGTACCGCATGCGCGACCTCATCAAGGAACTCGAGCTGGACGTGGTGGGTCTCCTCGAGTCCGACCTGCAGCGCATCATCATGGGCAACCGCGACACCACGCAATTCCTTGCCGAGGACCTCGGAATGTACGTCGACTACGGCCCAGGCCCCAACAAGCACACCTGGGGCTCCGCTCTGCTCTCCAAGTTCCCGATTCTCAAGTCGACGCACCACCTGCTCCCCAGTCCCGTGGGCGAGCTCGCGCCCGCCATCGCCGCCACCCTCGACGTCTACGGCCAAGAAGTCGACGTCTTCGTGTTCCACTCCGGACAGGAAGAGGACCCCGAAGACCGCCGTCTGCAGACCGAATACCTCTCCAAGCTCATGGGCGAATCAAAGAACCCCTCCGTCCTGCTATCCTACCTCGTCACCAAGCCCCTGCAAGGCAACTACAACACCTACGTCAGCAGCACATCCGGCATGCACGACGTCGACCCGACCGACTGGGACCGCTGGTGCGAGTACATCCTCTACAAGGGCCTCAAGCGCACGGGCTACGCGCGCGTCAGCCGCAGCACCATCACCGACACGGAGCTGCAGGTGGCCAAGTTCGTCATCCCGCAGTCCAAGGACGAGGCGCTGCAGATCGAGGCGGTGGACGACAACACGCGGAATAAGCGCGTTACGGAGGAGGAGGTGCCGCAGGGCTGGCGATTCCCAGCCATGTTCCGCGGCCAGGGCGTGCGGGATCACCGGTACCACGTCTTTAACGAGCCAAGGTACTACAATCATTGATTTATGGAAACGAAAACGAAGTTTATGGGGGCTGTGATTGGATGAAGGGTTGTAATGTTGAATGTTTTCTTATGTTGATGGCGGAGGTTGGGGGCGTATATACTTAATACAATGCGAGAGCGTGTTCAATGAGCATCTGGGTGTTTGCGTGTTTGGCTTGAGAGTTGCTGCCGGGGGACGTTTCTACAATGTACACCCGCCACTGCCTTTCCATCATGCCATTCCTGCGCACCGCTGTTGTTAGCTGGACCATGATTGTTCTCGAGCTCGTCCATCAAGCCTACATCTCGGTCAGCGCCGTTCACATTGTTTTCTTCCTATCTCAATACCGCTTCTTTCAACCTTTCTTAGGCCTTAATGCCGGCCTGTCTATTTTTCAGGCGTCGCTGTTGACGTATTCCTTCGAGACCACTCCGCTAAGGGTGAAGAGTAGTGACTTTGTACACACACACATACACACCTTTTACCCAAGGTATCAATGTGTAAGATAACCTGGCACCACACTTTTGGGTCTAGGGAACACACACGGCAAGTATCATGAACCTATCTAACTATTCACTCAAACCAAACGCTTGCCTCATGAGATGCATCTTCTGTATTTTGGTTCGTTTTATATGAGGTCAACACGCCATCGCGAATCTGCCTGCTCAGGGGCTCAATAGGTCCTGTCGCTCTTTAAATATGAATAATTTGTCCGCTACGATAGGTCTCGGCCTCTAATATGGACCATTCTCAGTTAGTGCACACATTTGATGCTTCGGGAAGATGGGCCGGCTCAGATTAGTTTCGCACCGAGTCGATTGTCTCCATTCAGTATCTAGAAAGTTGTGGGTGTTTGGATTCCCAGGGGTGCGGCC